TCGTCTTCTCAATTGTGTCATTCTCCTCATTGTCTCCTCTTTTCCTGGAGTCCTGTAGCTCAGTGGTTAGAGCACTCGCTTTGCAAGCGAGAGACCTGAGTTCAATTCCAGGCAGAGGGCGAAACCTTGGGCAAGTTTCCTTACTCCACACAGAGCCTAATAATAATCCCTCCAAAACCCAAAATAATAATAAATTGGTCATTTTCAATCCACGACTGTTTGTGGGACACTGCTGCGCGCAATTGGCTGCTGCGTTTCGCCCACAAATATACAGTCAATTCACTTCACAGTCTATTCTGTGAAACACTTTGAGACGTCGAGAAGACGTGGAAAGTGCTATATCAAATGCAAGGATTATTATTATTATTATTCTCTCTTCAGCAACCCCAAAAAGCCTCCAAACACCCATTTCCTCATCAGAACAAAGAAAACCTTAAAACATATGAATGCTTTTCCTGCTTTCATGAATGGAGCTTTTGGACAGCGTAGTGCAGTGTTTGAGAATGAGCAAGTTTTCGGTCTCCAAATCTATGTTGCTGAGCAGGTAATGCTCAGATTTCCTCCTGTTACTGGCTCTTTAAATGGCCCACATAGCTGCACACTCCTAACACGCGTACTTTCCGCTTTCTCTGTATTAAATTCCATCTTCCATGTGTCTTCCCATTTCACTAGCCTGTCTATGTTCTCCTGCAGTCTGTTACTATCCTCCTGACTGTTTAGTACGTTTACTACAAGATCAATTAGAATGGGAGGATGAGGATCTTGAATTCCATTCTCTGGGGGATGGGAAACTAGTGATGCCAAGTGAGAGGACGTAGACTGCAGAGTGCTGGAGTATTTGCAGACTGTGTTTAGAAGAACTGGGGAGTCCATCAAATAGGGCATTGATGGAGACAAGCCTGGACATGATGAGGACATGGATGAATCAGTGATGATCCATCAATGCCTAATGCTCATTTATACTTAATATGTATGGAATGTAATTGTAATCTATGAGTTGGGCAGCGATGAATGCCAAATCCTTATTGTACATGTACAGATCCAACTCATTAAAGCTCACACCCTTGTAATAAATGTTATTGTGGGCGTTGTCAGCTCTTGTACGTGACTGCTCACAATCACTTGTTCACCAACTCAGTCAAGCAAGCTGATACATGAAAGGACAACTTGCAATTTTAATGGAAGAACCATGTTGTTTGATGTAGAAAAACAGATACATGCTTTCGGGCACAGAAATAGTGAATCCTGGTTCCACGATGATGTGGTACCCATGATAATTAGCTTCCAGATGATCTATACAATGTGTGCATTTCTGCATTGTGCTCCATCTGCTTTTTCTGGCTCGTTGTCAGACTCCATCATTGTCAAGTGCTACCCAACCTGAAGGGCGCTTTATAAATACAAGTTGTTGTTGTTTCTTTTAAGGGCATGAGTATTAATTATAGCAATCGGCAACGATAGTTAGGATAAAAGGTTGACACAAGTCATTGGGTGTTACTAAAAAAAACAAAATCGGGGGTTGTAGATGGATTGTAGATTCATTCACTGGGTTATAGCGCTCCAGGACGCTACCCCATGTGAAGGGCGCTATATAAATGCACGTTGTTGTTGTTGGTGTTTTTGTTATAGATCTCTGGGTTAGGACAAGGATCTTGAACTCCATCCACCTGTGGATAAGAATGCCGGGCGAGGATGGGGATGATAGTGCAGGAACGTTTACAAGCTGAAGGGTCTGGATAGTCTGCAGCTTGTGAAGGGGCGAGTGGGTAGACCAGTGAGCAGGAGTTGTGGTATTCTAGCTTGGATGTGATGAAAGCATTGATTAAGATCCTGGTGGGCCAAGGGGAGAGGCTGGCAATCTTATTGAGGTGAGGGAAAGCTGAGCAGGTCACTATTATATTGGAGTGTCAGCCTGTGAATTGACACTGGACTGTGAGTTGAATGTCTGGATATGAGGCTTAAACCCACAACCCCCAGAGATGAGAGTACAGACCAACCAAGCTAGGCTGAACCAATCTCAGTGAGAATAACCACAATAATAATAATCCTTGCATTTGATTTAGCGTCTTATCATGTCGTCAAGACGTCAAGCTGAGGAGACGGGGAGTTAACTGTAAGCATGATCGAAGAGGAAGGTCTTCAGGTGTGATCTGAAGATGGGAAAGGAGGAGGTAAGACAGAGGGATAGAGGAAGAGAGTTGCATAGTTTCAGGTGTAGTGGCCGAAAGCATGGTTGCCTTTGCCTTTAACAAATCTGTGTTCCAACCCTCCAGTGCTCTGGCCCCACTCCCATATCCAAGGAGGAATGAAGGATTGCGGCCGGTGATTTTTGGTCAAATCTCAACCCTTAGATCCCATTTAACCGCAAAGCCATTCGAGTAAATACACAAGGACGATGACAGTGAGGGTTTGGGGAAGAGCAAGATTACACAGATGGTTTGCAACAGAGAAGTGAGCGCAGCAGAGCCTCACTGTGAAGGCTGAATGCTCTCATTTTCTCCCTTTCCCCACAGAGACCAAATCTCCAGGAGTCAACATTTTTTTTTGCAAAATTGCTCCGTGAATGGAAAGGTAATTGAGTGACTCCAATACTCTCTCTCTCTCTCACTCTCTCTCTCTCACTCTCCAGCCTCCAACCTACTCTACTCAACCTTGATCTGTATTCTTTGCACAGACCACAGCTCAGTGCTTCCATCTGACCATCTCCCCCCTCCCCCCCCCCCCCACTTCCTGAACATTGACCTGGACAGGACCTCAACCCGTGGAGAGATTTATGCTTGAAATTTTATTAAAATGTAAGCAAGTATTTCATTTCGCCCACAAATATACGGTCAATTCACTTTACAGTCTATTCTGCAAAGCGCTTTGAGACGCCGGGAAGACGTGAAGAGCGCTATATCAAATGCAAGGATTATTATTATAATTATCAGCATCTTACAGGCAGACAGAACGCCATGTACGGCGAGTGCCACTGCATAACACTGCAAACTTTTCCTCCAACAGCTCCACACACACACGCACATCAATAAGGCAGCTTCACACATAAAGGTGGACATCATGGCTATATCACAAGGAAATCTGCCTCATATTATTAATAATAATAATTGCAGTAATAAACACCGAGTGCAGGAGAGAGGTACACACCTGCCAGGTAGAGAGATAGCGAGAGAGAGAGAGAGAGAAGTAGATAGCGAGATAATAATAATAATAATAGCGAGATAGATAGATAGATAGATAGATAGATAGATAGATAGATAGATAGATAGATAGATAGATAGATAGATAGATAGATAGATAGATAGATAGATAGATAGATAGATAGATAGATAGATAGATAGATAGATAGATAGATAGATAGATAGATAGATAGATAGATAGATAGATAGATAGATAGATAGATAGATAGATAGATAGATAGATAGATAGATAGATAGATAGATAGATAGATAGATAGATAGATAGATAGATAGTTAGTTAGTTAGTTAGTTAGTCACGGAGGCTGAAGTGGTCCTGAGCCCCCGGGAGTGTGTGTGTGTAGGTGTGTGTGTGTGTAGGTGTGTGAGGGTGTGTGTGTGTGAGGGTGTGTGTGTGTGTGAGGGTGGGTGTGTGTGAGGGTGTGTGTGAGGGTGTGTGTGTGTGAGGGGGTGTGTGTGAGGGTGTGTGTGAGGGTGTGTGTGTGTGTGTGAGGGTGTGTGTGAGGGTGTGTGTGTGAGGGTGTGTGTGTGAGGGTGTGTGTGAGGGTGTGAGGTGTGTGTGTGTGAGTGTGTGTGTGTGAGGGTGTGTGTGTGTGAGGTGTGTGTGAGGGTGTGTGAGGTGTGTGTGTGTGTGTGAGGTGTGTGTGTGTGTGTGTGAGGGCGTGTGTGAGGGTGTGTGTGTGTGAGGGTGTGTGTGTGTGAGGGTGTGTGTGTGTGAGGGGTGTGTGTGTAGGTGTGTGAGGGTGTGTGTGAGGGTGTGTGTGAGGGTGTGTGTGTGAGGGTGTGTGTGTGTAGGTGTGTGAGGGTGTGTGTGAGGGTGTGTGTGAGGGTGTGTGTGAGGGTGTGTGTGTGTGAGGGTGTGTGTGTGTGAGGGGGTGTGTGTGTGAGGGTGTGTGTGTGTGAGGGTGTGTGTGTGTGAGGGTGTGTGTGAGGGTGTGTGTGAGGTGTGTGTGTGTGTGTGTGAGGGTGTGTGTGAGGGTGTGTGTGTGTGAGGGTGTGTGTGTGTGAGGGTGTGTGTGTGTGAGGGTGTGTGTGAGGGTGTGAGGTGTGTGTGAGGGTGTGTGTGAGGGGTGTGTGTGAGGGTGTGTGTGTGTGAGGGTGTGTGTGAGGGTGTGTGTGTGTGAGGGTGTGTGTGAGGGTGGGTGTGTGAGGGTGTGTGTGTGTGAGGGTGTGTGTGTGAGGGTGTGTGTGAGGGTGTGTTGTGTGAGGGTGTGTGTGTGTGAGGGTGTGTGTGTGAGGGTATGTGTGAGGGTGTGTGTGTTGGTGTGTGAGGGTGTGTGTGAGAGTGTGAGGGTGTGTGGTGTGTGAGGGTGTGTGTGTGTGAGGGTGTGTGTGAGGGTGTGTGTGTGAGTGTGTGTGAGGGTGTGTGTGTGTGAGGGTGTGGTGTGTGAGGTGTGTGTGTGTGAGGGTGTGTGTGTGTGAGGGTGTGTGTGAGGGTGTGTGTGAGGGTGTGTGTGTGTGAGGGTGTGTGTGTGTGTGTGAGGGTGTGTGAGTGTGTGAGGGTGTGTGTGAGGGTGTGTGTGAGGGTGTGTGTGTGAGGGGGTGTGTGTGTGAGGGTGTGTGTGAGGTGGTGTGTGTGTGAGGGTGTGTGTGAGGGTGTGTGTGTGTGAGGGTGTGTGTGAGGGTGTGTGGTGTGAGGGGGTGTGTGTGTGAGGGTGTGTGTGTGTGAGGGTTGTGTGTGAGGGTGTGTGTGTGAGGGTGTGTTGTGAGGGTGTGTGTGTGTGAGGGTGTGTGTGTGTGAGGGTGTGTGTGAGGGTGTGTGTGAGGGTGTGTGTGAGGGTGTGTGTGTGTGAGGGTGAACCTGACCTGACGGGGATCCTGACGTGGAGGTAGCGATCCACGGCGATGGCGAGGAGGGCGAGGATGGAGCTCTGGGTGAGCACCAACATAGCGCAGGACAGCAGGAGACAGCTGTGGAAGTCGGTGCGCGGCCCCGCGCTGATGGTGATGGCCACCGGGATGACCAGACTGCCCACCGCCACGTCGGCCAGAGCCAAGGACACCACGAAGCAGAAGGTGGTGTCCCGCAGAGCGCGGTTCAGCCGCACCGCCCAACACACCAGTGCGTTCCCGAGGACAGAGGCCACCGCCACCACCACCTCCGCCGCCATGTACACGGCCAGTGAGGGCGAGATGCTCTCCGGCCCCTCCGCCATCTCCCTCGGCTTCTCCCCTCACCCTCACACTCCCCTCACCCTCACCCTCCCCTCACCCTCCCCGGTCCTTCCTCCGCTCTCGGTGCTGTGTCGGCGCCGCTCCACCACCACCGCCACTACCCACTACCATCGCCCCAACCGCAACGGTGACGCACCGCCACCGCCACCGCCACCGCCGCCCTCCTCCCCTCCCACTCACTCACTCACTCACTCACTCACTCACACTCACTCACTCACTCACTCACTCACACTGATACTCACTCACTCACTCACTCACTCACTCACTCACACTGATACTCACTCTCACACTCACTCACACTGATACTCACTCACTCACTCACTCACTCACTCACTCACTCACACTGATACTCACTCACTCACTCTCACACTGATACTCACTCACTCACTCACTCACTCACTCACACTGATACTCACTCACTCACTCACTCACTCACTCACTCACTCACTCACACTGATACTCACTCACTCTTACACTCACTCACTCACTCACACTGATACTCACTCACTCTCACACTCACTCACTCACTCACACTGATACTCACTCACTCACACTGATACTCACTCACTCACTCACTCACACTGATACTCACTCACTCTCACACTCACTCACACTGATACTCACTCACTCACTCACTCACACTGATACTCACTCACTCACTCACACTGATACTCACTCACTCTCACACTCACTCACACTGATACTCACTCACTCACTCACTCACTCACTCACACTGATACTCACTCACTCACTCTCACACTGATACTCACTCACTGACACTCACTCACTCTCACACTCACTCACTGACTCACTCACTCACTCACTCACACTGATACTCACTGACACTCACTCACTGACCCTCACTCACTCTCACACACACTGACATTCTCACACAGAGAGACACACACACTCTCACACACATTGACACACACACACTCACTCTCTTTCACACACACTGACGCTCACACACACACTCACTCTTTCTCACACACACTGACACACACACACAGGCACACTCTCACACACACACAAATTGGCACTCTCAGTCACACGCTCACTCTCCCACACACACTGACACACACACAGAAGCACTCTCTCTCTCTCTCACACACACACACACACACACCACACACACACACTCACAAACACCGATTACATGGGTTAGTTGAGGTTTGGGTCGGTTTGAAGATCGGAAAGAATGTGAATTATGTCACCGAAAGAAAAAAATACACAAACGAATCCACCCACCAGTGACTTCCCACAGCATCCAAACCTCACCGCACATTTGGGCTGAAACTGAGAATTGCTGCAGATGCTATTTTAGACTCTGAAATTGACACTCCATAGGAACATCTATATTGGTTCATGCAAAAAAAAACAAATCATTAGGAACAAATTTACTCCAGGAAATAATACTAATAATAATAATAATCCTCGTATTTGATATAGCGCTTTTCACGTCGGGAGGACGTCCCAAAGCGCTTCACAGAACACACTGTAAAGTGAATTGACTGTATATTTGTGGGCGAACGCGGCAGCCAATTGCGCACAGCAATGTCCCACAAACAGTCGTAGATTGAAAATGACCAATTTAGTATTGTTTTGTTTTGGAGGGATTATTATTAGGCTCTGTGTGGAGTAAGGAAACTTGCCCAAGGTTTCGCCCTCTGCCTGGAATTGAACTCAGGTCTCTCACTTGCAAAGCGAGTGCTCCAACCACTGAGCTACAGGACTCCACGAAGCTCGTCCTGATCACCTGTCTGTTTCACGTATATTTATTTCTAGACACATTATTTTTTATGCTGCTGTTGTTTGGAGAATTGGGTTCAGTGTAGTGTGTGTGTGTGTGTGTGTGTATGTGTTTACCTGATGTGAATGAGCCGCACAGATCCCTACATTGGTGTCTTACCAAAGACCTTGGCAGATTGCACCCAATTTCTCCCTGCAATAAATTTTTAAAAATAATAATAATTTTGGTCACTCAATCCACGAGTGTTTGTGGGGAACGCTGCTGCTCGCAATTGGCTGCCGAGTTTCTCCCACAAAATACGCATTCAATTCACTTCACAGTATATTCCCTGAAGCGCTTTAAGCCGACTTGAAGGCGTGATAAGGCGCTGGATCAAATGCAAGGATTATTATTATTGGTTGGTGCGCGATCACAGTTATTTTTAAAAACAACTGCATTAAAATACGGATGGGGAGGTCAATAATAATATTAATAATAATAATAATGATAATAATAATTGTTGCATTTGATATAGCACCTCATCATGAACTTCACAGAATATACTATAAGGCAGTGGTGGCCAACCTTTTGCTAAGGTGTGCCACAGTGTGAGCCCAAGGCTTATCAGCATATCGCCAATCGCACACACCAGTATGTTAGAATTTACAATACAAAACAAAATTACATTGTATAGTACCTTTCACACCGGGAAGACATCTCAAGGCACTGGGACCAGTAACCAAAGGAGGCCATTTGGCCCATTAAATCTATCCTGGGTCTCAGAGCGAGCCATCGATTCAATCCCACTGCCTCTCCCTATCCCCAGACCCCTTCAGCCTCTATCCTTCATATATTTGTCTATTTCCCCCTTGAACCCCAAGAAACAACATGTCCTAACAACTGCCAGACTGAAACTTTTTGCCTCTTATTGTGACTATCTTATAATTAAATGCCCAAGTCACGAGTGTCTGTTTCTCACTCTTTACTGTCAGTCTCTGTCTCTCTCTCTCTACCTGTCAGTCTCTTCCTCTATCTGCAAACAAGCAGAGAGTGTCTATTTTTGATGCAAAGAAGTCTATCTCCTTTTTGGCATCAGAGAAGAACCCTCTGCCTCCTGAACCCATCCTCTGTTACTCTCCTGATGTCTTTCTGAGGCTGAAGAGCTCCAGTTGTACACTGAGCCTTTAGCTCTCCTTTACATCTCCAGGGATGGGAATTGGCATTCTCAGTACTCACAAGAATGAGCTCTTTTGATTTGATAAAGTAGCAGTTAAATTTGAGCTTTTGTGACTCCAGGATGACTGAATTCGAGAGAGAGAACTGGCTGCTTAAAATTCCATGTTAGAATCTGCAGTTCTTCCCCCCCCACCAACCCACACACACACACACAGAAATAAACCGGTTAATTCGCGTAAAACCAAACATGTTAAATTAAGACCAGGCATCAGCACATTAATCTATTCTCCAGACAGCCTTAATTGGGCGTGTGATTATCGTAACGAAAAAGATTTATAGAGGCGAGATAACGAGCGACAACACTTTACAGTCATTCTGTTTTGAGGAATACTCCAGATGGGGTTTCCGTTTGCGCTGCTCATTCCTCTATATGTGATTGGGAAACATTATTTCACATTTTCATATCTTTTATTTTGAGTATTTTATTAGGACCATGATCATCGTACACTTATTAGTTTTGTAAAACCCTGCCTCTTTGTGGTGGTGTTGTAAGATCATCTTGTTCATTTTGCTTCTCATCCTCACAACGCAAACAGAATGAGTATTCATCACCTGCCAATGTTGTCCCAAAAATGAATGCAAAGATGCTTGGGGAGGGATGGGGATTAGGGCCATCCTCTCAATTTCAAAATAATGGTTGGAGCTGAATATTTTGGTGCTTCATTTGTTATTTGGGCTTCCAGTGTTACAGTACACTCTCTGCTTGTTTGCAGACAGAGGAAGTCACTGGCTCCAGTCATCAAAAAGAACCTGGGATCATATGGCAGTCCAAGATAGCAGCAAATGTCTCTCCCTGTCCTCAATCCTCTGTGGGCTTTTAACCCTCCAGGTGTTTCCCACTGGATCTTCCAGATCATATGATTTGCCTTCTAACAACAATCCCCCGTTTTACGTCTTAACTTATTCAACACTCCCGACGTGTAAGGCGCTCTATCAAAATTAAGGATTATTTATTATTGGTTTGACTAGAGTTGAAAAATTGTTCAACTTGTGCTGCATGAAACTTAAAAAGGACAAGTCACCTGGACAGGATTGTAGCATCCAAGAATGCTGAGGGAAATCGGAGATGAAATAGCAGTGGAAATTCTGACCACAATTTTTTAACATTTTCGGAACCAAACATTGTGCCAGGAGACTGGTGTTACAACATATGGCTCAGATATCACTGTATTTACATAACACCTCCAATTAGCAAACAGATAAATCACCATCCATGTATCAAATTCCCATCATCTCACTGCTATACCCACCCCTGGTGCTCTAGTTATATAAGTTCATTTGGGACCCCTTCCTAGGTGTCCCAGTTTGTGTCCGATGTAACATCTTCCTTTTTACCCCAACCAAAGGAAAAACAGTACAATTCTTCCCTCTCTGAGTCACTCACTCCCCATTGCCTTAGCTCTGCTCAGTGAGTCAAGCTCTGGATTATCCTTCCCTTCTGTGTGCTTCTGGTTGGCATGTGTTATTGGTTCTTCTGATATATTTTCCTTCTGTTGTCTGCCAAGGCCCTGGTGTTCCAACGAAACACGTTGCCAACCTTATGCTTGAGTATATAGGCTTGTGGTCGCTTCGCTTATTTTAATTGCACCTCCTGACAAAGACGAGGTCTGTATCTTCGTGACCCAAATGTTGCTGGGTTGTTTTCTTGTAGGGTTCTTTTTGCTTTTCATTGCAATCGTACCGTTTGCATTGCAATTGTAACATACAGCTCACCTCTCGCTTTTTTTTTGTCTGTGATGCGGTTGCAACAATCTATTGTGTATTCTGTTGTCAACAACAATGGCAACAACTTGCATTTATGCAGCGCCCTCTATGCAGGACGGCATCTTGGAGCGCTTAACAGTGGTGAAGCTTGACGCCGAGCCGGGGGGAGGGGGAGGTGGCCTTAAGGATGGTCGGAGAGGAATGTGTTTAGGCGAGATCTAAAAATGGGGAAGGAAAGGGCCAGATGGAGGGATTGAGCGATACAGTTCTGTAGTTTGGGGGCGTAGCAGCTGAAAGCGCGGACGCGATGGTGGAGCAGAGGGGATGTGGGACAAGCAGGAGGCC